ACATAGTAAAAAAATTTTATTATAATATTATTTTATATCTATTTTTTTTAAAGATAGTAGATAACTAAAATGACTATAGCCAGTAAATACTTGGTGTAATCTTAACTGTTATTATATTTTAACTAAGTTAATATGGCATTTTACAAAACTTAACAAAGAAGATTTAGAGTAATTTGCAATTACAAAAAAAGCAACAATTAAAAATATATAAAGATACTAATAACTGTTTAGGATTTCGTATCCAAAAGGTATTTTATTATTGAAAATATATGAAAACACAATGTCTAACTCAAGGTCCACATCAGCTGCTTTTATATTTTATAATTTTTTAGAAATATACTCGTACACGATCATGCATAGTGGATCTTAAAGTATTACATATTCCTCAAAATTCGGATTTTTTAAAAGTAAGCTAGAATTTATTTTATTAATTTTATGTAGATTAATTTGATTGATATTGCATATTTACAAATTATATTTAAAAGATTAAAGACTACATTAATAGTGAACATAAAGTATATGGATTAACTCAAGACACCAAAATAAATAAATATATGTTAGTATTTGATGAATTTAGTTCTAAAAGAAGTTTGTGGAATGGAAAATGTGCAAATTGTAACCGATATAACACGTCTAAAGCTTGGTGTCGAAGTTGTGACCCTTATAAAATAACACAAGGATGGACAAGCGGAAATAAGGACATTGATGATTGCATTAAAGAATTTCAACTTAAAGCTACAAATTATGAGGATGTGATCGAATGGATTCCTTTTAATAAATTATGTAGCATTAAGAAATTTGTGAAAGATTTTTAACAACTTTGTTAGATAGTGTACGATACATAAATAAAGATGATTATGATGATGAATGTCCACAATCATACACAGTAGAGCTTAAAATATTGCGTAATTCACAACACTCATTAGAACTTTTAAAAGAAGTAAGTTAAATCACGACTTATAGTTTATACAAATTTTTTGATTACAGCGCTTTTCAAATTACTGTGACCAGCAGGTTTCACGTATCACACCGGAAATCAGGAATCTAGAAAAACTTCCAATCTATGGCTAAAAATTATTCTAATAATTTTTTAACCAGTCATAGATTGGCATTTTTCTAGATTCCTGATTTCTGGTGTGATACGTGGAATTTACTGGTCATAGTAATTTGAAAAGCGCTGTAATATTATATAACTGATAAATTTAAGTTTAAGGACTATGTGAATGGCGAATTTCAAGTATATGGATTAACTCAAAACACAGCAACGAATGAATATATGTTAGTATTTGATGAATTTGGTTCTGAAAGACGTTTGTGGAAGGGAAAATGTGCAAATTGTAACCGATATAACACATCTACAGTTTGGTGTCGAACATGTGACCCTTATAAAATAACACAAGGATGGACAAGCGGAAATAAAGATATTGATGATTGTATTAAAGAATATCAACTTAAAGCTACAGAGTATGAGAATGTAATCGAATGGATTCCTTTTAATCGATTAGATGAAATTCAAAAGATTGGAGAAAGATTTTTAGCAAATTGGCTAAATGGCGTGCGTTATGTATATGGATATGAACATGATGAATATAGATATGCACGGGCACGTAAAAAATGCAAAGTGGACCTTGAAATATTAGATAATTCCCAAAACCCATTAGACTTTTTAAAAAAAGTGAGTTAAATCGTGATTTATAGTCTACTTTATACAAATTTATTAATTTTATGCATTATAAAATTATAAGTTTAAGAAGTATATACAGAATAATGAGTTGAAAGTATATGGATTAACTCAAAGCACAGAAACAAATGAATTTATGGTAGTATTTGATAATTTTTATTCTAAAAGATGTGATCAGTATGGAGAATGTTCAAGTTGCAACCGATATAATACTTCAGAAGCTTGGTGCCAAACATGTGACCCTTATAAAATAAAACAAGGATGGACAAGTGGAAATGAAGATATTGATAATTACATTAAAGAACTTCAACTTAAAGCTACAAATTATGAGGATGTGATTGAGTGGATTCCTTTTAATAAATTAAATGACATTAAGAAGATTGGTGAGGGGGGTTTGGCAAAGTGTTTTCAGCAACATGGTCAGATGGTAAAAGAATAATATTAAACGATAAACACTCACGCACCCCATCATATGTAGTTGCACTTAAGACACTGCATAGTTCGCAAAAAAAATTTTTAAGAGAAGTAAGTTAAAATAATTTATCTTGGCTTAAATTATATAAATTACTAATGTATTAAAAATTTTCCTTCAAGTTTAAAAATTATATGCAAATTAGACAAGTGGGTAGTAATCTTGCGGTTTATAGAATAACTCAAGACATAACTAATAATGAATATTTGATGGTATTTCAATACGCAAATAGAGGAAACCTTCGCGATTTCCTATCACACAATTTTAGTGAACTTAATTGGAGATGTAAATTAAAGCAACTTGTTGATATATCAACAAATTTAGAGAAAATTCATAAATCAGGACATGTTCATAAAGATCTTCACAGCAGTAATATATTGCTAAATCAGTATTATATGAAGGAAGATATAACAACTTACATCTCAGATCTAGGATTATCTAAAGAAAAAGGTGAATCTGGTTTAGAAGATTGCATTTACGGCGTTTTACCTTATGTCGCACCAGAGGTGTTAAATAAAAGACAATATACGATGGCAGCGGACATTTATAGTTTTGGTATTATCATGACTGAAATGTCTACAGGAAGACCGCCTCATTGCAATATTGAATATGATGAAACGTTAGCTATTCGAATATTCAATGGATTGCGTCCTGGATTTGCTAAAGACACTCCTAAATGTTATATTCAATTAGCAAATCAATGTATGGATGCTAATCCTTCTAATAGACCATCTGTGTCTGATATCCATAATAAATTACTTAAATGGCATCGGATATTAAGGGACGGAGCACAAGACGAAGACGAAGATGAATTAGTAATTTTAGAAGCGTTCAAGTCTGCAGATACAATTATTCCAACATTATCAGTCGAATTTCCGATTTTCCCTAAAGGCAAACTTACAAGTAAATTGCTTAACTTCAAAGATCCTTATGAACCAATTAAATCACTATTTGGTAAATAATTATAATATATCTAACTTTAATCGATAAAAGTTTTTAATTGCTTTTAATTTTGTTTAGATTCTACTAGTTACGATTTTTCAATTTCCGATAATGATCTTTAACGTATGTATAATTATTCTAATCTTTTAATATTTAAGAATGTCTTATTTGTTTATTTAAATACTTTATTTTTACAGCTAATGAATGAGTTTATTTAAGT